CGTGGGAAAGGTATTGCAATACTTTCACGTGGTATGTAAGCAGAATACAAGTATTTACATTGTACAAATCCAATCAGTTAAAACTGCTACAATGCTTGGATAGTTAAGGAAAGAGTTTTCAGACAAAGACGTTATAAAGCATGCCGTCATTAGTGTTGTTTAGACAAAATGAAGAGAAATTCAATGCTTGATATTAACTAAGCATAGAATATGAAGAGGCAAAATGTAGAATTCATGTAAGTGCCCAACTACTATCGGTGGGACAGACTTTGTATGCTAAGAACATTGAGATTTCATCGTTCACAAGTTCGAATACGTACGTATCACCTATTTGAAATTGTTTCTCCATAACGTAAGTTAACCAGCCTATGGTGAGATGTCGTACATCACCATTAGTCCTTAGATTTGTTCGCACTGGCCAATTGTGGTGTGAACGATCATGGATTTGTATATTCCTGACACGTTTTTGTAGATGCAATCGAGCGAAAGTCCCGGGCACATCCCATAAAATAAATTTCCAAATGAAAATATAGAAGCCTTTGGAGTTTGTGATGTTACATGAATCGTAGTTATATAGAGCATCTCGCGTTGAAAAAGGATGAAGAAAACGGAGAAAATAACATCGTGTATATATATATATTTTTTAAAAAAAAAGTCAAAGTCAAATATTAATTTCAATCATACATTCTTAACTACTATTCATTATTACTCGCGTATTTTATAGATCTACAATTATTTCCATCTATAAACCATCTATAAATTTCCCAAGTGTAGGTTAAGTTTTATTCCCAATAAATTTGAAATTAGCTACATAATTGTTTAGCTATTTTGCTATGTTTTCAATAGATAGAGTAAAAATTTCAATTAACTACGTCCTTAACAGCTAAAACAAGCCATGAATGCTAGTACATGGATCCATTTTTCTTTTGCTCTATCGAGATAACATCATTTTTATGAACGCTAATATCGATAGATTGATGCAATATACGAGTCCTTAACCACCTAAATCTTTTTTTTCCCTTAATGTATTGTTGGCTAATGTAGCCTCTATATGATTGAGTAAATTCACCAATCGTCACTGGAGTTTGTACAAAATTTCAAATTGGTTGTTAAGGTTTTGAATTTAGGGACAAAATGAGTTGAAAAAAATTCAATGACCAACTTCAACTTTTGTACAAACTTTGGGGTGACGATTGGTGAAATTAACTCCTATACGATATATTAATTTATACAAATTTTAAAAAGTTTGACATGTATTAAAAATCAATGTTACAAAATATACGCCAATGCAATATTGGTGTAAATTGCAGTTGTTGTATCAACTTTTACTTCCTTTTGCACTTTTATCCTCAACCTTTATTACATAAAATGTTGGGAATTTATCCGCCATGTTAAAATAATTAATATAATGAAATATAATAAAATATAATAATGAGTTAATTATTTATTTCATATATGAATTAAATGCAGGCACTATCTACGGGTAATGTAGCAAGCCTCAACTGCATTAAATATAATCATCGTGGCGGATCAAAATCATTTGTTGCACGTCTTGAAGAAAA